GGGCGGCGGGAGCGCGGAGACCACGGCCCCCGGGAGACGGCGAGGCGGAGGGGCCCTGGCCTGGGCGGAGAGAGCCGAGCGCGCGGGCGTTCGCGGTTGAGAGCCGGGGCTCCACTGCGCCCCGCACCGACCCCTCAGCTCCAGCCCAGGGCGCCGCGCCGCAGCCGAGAACCTCCCCGCCTGCGCCCGAGGCACGCGCGGCACAGCCATGAACACCAACGAAGCCAAGGACTACCTGGCCCGGAGGGAAATCCCTCAGCTTTTTGAGGTAGGCACTGGGACTGGCAGAGGGACCGGAGGGGCCGGGAGGGTGTCTTCTGGGCGTGCGCTGGGGCCGCCGCGCCCCGTCCTACCTTCCCGGTGCGGGGCATGAAGTGAAGGGGCTCGAGGGAGCTCCCGCGCCCGCTCGCCCGAGGGTCGTCGCCTTCCCGGCGCGTTACTTGGGTGTCGTCAGATGACTGAGCTCAGAAGCCCACGTCTCCCAGATCAAGTTTCCGCCTCCCAGCCGGGTTCAAGAAGCAGGCTGTCCCCAGCGCACCCCTCAGAGGTGGACACCAGGATGGGCCGGAGGCAGTGACCGGGCCGCGCTCTCAGGGGTGTGGTGGGGGGTGCGAGGGCCGGGCCAGGTGGGTGCTCTGCCGCCTCGCTGTGAGCACGGGCTCAAAATTAGGGGTTCAGAGCCTGCGCACCTCCTGATGCCGAGGGTCGGGACCCCTGCGGGAAGAGGAAGTGTGTGCAGTGCAGCTCGCCGGAGCAGCGTGGAGAAGAGGGATGAAGATGCAAAAAACATCCATCCCATCAAGTGCAGCGCTGCCTCCCGGGTGGCAGGCACCTCGAGCACTGCTCGGCGCTTTCGGTGAATGAACTCCCGAGCACGTTTCCCCACCGCATGGGCTCTCCTTGCTCGCCTCCCGCGCCGCAGCTTTCGCCTGCGCTCTGCAGCCCACCTGGAGGTGGCGGGTCGGTGAGGAGCAGCTGGGCGGGCGAGTCTCCTGTTGCTCTGCCCTCAGACCGCATCATGGCATCCTCTGCACCCGGGGCCCGAGGTTGGGGTAACACTGGGAGAATACGAGACAGGGGCTTGAGGGATGAACTGCAGAACCTTGGACAGTTCTAAGCCAAAATCTACATCTGAGATGTTTTGCTTCCTTCCCTCTCCCTTCTCCATATTTGAATTTTGAAACATTTCTGACACCTATGTGATTTGCTTAGGGAGAAAAAAAAAAGACAAAAAGAAGAATGGAAGCAAGCCAAGTTTATAGGGCGAGTCTTGAAAGGAAACTCCATTCACTGTAAACCTGGGGCCCCATTTCTAAAAAAAAAAAAAAATCAGACACTGATAATGTAATTAAAGGTCGTGAGTTGTTCTTTTTCCTGTTTGAGGGATTCGTTCTGGTAAAAGGTATTTTAAAACACCACTTGGAAAAATTTTGTTGTCCCAATTTCCTCAAACTATAGTATCTTTGAAATAAGCCGCCCATAATTACAAATCTTCACCTTCTTTCGTTTCTGTAAGCCATGTTTTTAGGTCATCTGATGCCCAGATTTTCAGGTAAACCACCCTCTGAACTCAGGGTGGGTATGTGAAGCCCAAATCTAGCAAGTATGTTACTACAGCATGAAAACAGTAAGGTGGTCTTGCATAAGGCCAGGTGTTAGGAGTGTGTGGGAATCTTACGAAGACTTTCTTTTAATTTTCAAAAAGTAAATACGGAGATGAAGAGCAAAAGGTTTTCATTAAAAATATTAATGAGATCCATTTCATTTTTACACATCTAAAAGAATAATTAGAAACATCTGTAGGAGTGCCTCCTGATTGGAAAATATTGCTAAATAGTCTGTTGTTTTTGTTTTGTTTTGTTTTGTTTTTCTTTCTAAATGTAGGTACTGTTTTTCCTCCTTGGTGAAAGGTAACCACAGAGAATTTTGATAGTTCATGAAAATCTACACTACGTATGCAAACAACTGTTGGCAGGCACCTTTGTTCAAGTTTTTCTTTTCTTTGGCCTTCTGCATATGAATGGGGCTTTTTAAAACAATGCACACTCAGAAAAGGAAGCCACCTTACTTAAGTGAAATACAGTAATACCGTGGACTGGAGTCAATCCTGGATAATGGGAAGATGGATGGAGACTTTATAGCTGTGCTGTGCAAGGCAGGAGAGGGAGGTGAAATCTGGCAGTACTCCAGGTGACGAGTGTAGACAGCAAAACCAAATACTTAAGATTTCTAAACTGCATTTTCTCCATTTAAACCACAATATTCCTTCCACTTATAAAACGTTTGGTAACTCGATAACTATCAAACCCCAACACGTCAGCTCCAAATGTGGATATTAGACACCATTATAGACCAAGTGACAGATTATGGAAACTACGTGTTTTCTAACACTACATATAACTAACTGACCTTGTCAGAGTCCTTCCTGATTTAAGACCATGTTGGCCAAATGGGATAAGGAATGACATCTCTGTTAGGTTAATGTTTGAAAAGCATTTTCATTTTTAGATTAAATTCTTAAAAAAAAAAAAAAGAATACTTTATCTTGATTTTGTTATGAGTTCTCAATCCTAGCTACCCTTATGGCATAGGCTAGCTTGTACCTTAGAGCTGAGACTTGGCAATAAATTTGAATACCATGGAAAGTCAAATTTGATTATTCAAATTCTCAAAGGATTAACTCAGAGACTGTGTAATAGTGTTGTCTTCTATCCCTGATGGTGTCTGGCTATCAGAAGAAAGGATTTAACCTATGAAGGAGGAGAACCCATTGTCCCATTTTAGAAATTAGTGCCTTTTAGGGCATCAGTTTTGTTTAGGGAGGCTGGAAATGTACATTTTTCCAGCCACCAAAGCGTCATTGAATGCTTTCACCAATTTTAGAGTAGGAATAAAAAGTAAAATACCTAATCTTGAGTGATTTATATTGCAGTTGAATTATACATGGGGCACAGAGAATCTGGTATTTCCTTATTCCATATTATATTTGCAAGATATACAGGGACGAGTATGTGGGCTTGGAGTCGGAAACATTCAGTTGTATTCTGAGCCAAGGAATTTCTAGCAGAGTAACCTTGAGTATGTCACTAATATCTCTGAGTCACGATTTTCTAACCTATCAAATGGGAATAATAATGCCCCACAGGACTGAGAGTGAATTGGGTAGGCTAATGCATGTGAAGACACAGAAGTCTATGTATTTGTATATCCAGTACTGGCCAGTGTGCAGGACGAATGTCAGAAGCTAAACTGCAATGTGGGTGTATATAGCACAAATCTTGACACACAAACTGCATGTGAACGCTCAGGTTCGTTTTTTCCATGCCTTCTGCAGTTAAATTCATCTGATGGAGTTACACCTTCTAACCTATTCTATTTTAGGATTTCAGAAGATAAATGTACCTTGTAAGAATTGCTTACCATTCTGGGCAAATTGCAGAAGAATAATTTGAAAACAAAATATTACGTCAGCTTTTCAAAGAGTGTGTGTGTTTGATGATTACCCTCTATGCTTTTTCATGAAATACTCTAAAGGACATATCTTACACATTAGTACTGTTCAGAAGTCAGTATTTCCAAATTTGTATAGCATCTTCAGAAACTGGCACATGTGACATATTGGACACCATGAACAGAAAAAGTAACGGCAAGATTATGTATTCTTTTCCCTGAAACCTCAGGAGATATAGTGATGACCTATTAGATATCAAATAGCTGTTTTTTTAATTGTAGATGTTAGGTTTTTGTTTGTTTTTGTTTTTTGGGGGGTCTCATTCAGACTTAAGTGAACTTTGAGTGTTTTGTGTATGAGGGTTTTTTTTTTTTTCCATAGTAAACAGTTTAATATGTATCTACCATTTGGCAGGGAAAGTGTCAGGTGCTGGATATTGAAAAATTAATGAAGGAGACCCACTCTGTGCTGTGAAGAAAATTATTACTTAAAAGACCAATACATTAATTGATGGTTTCAGTATAAATGAAAGGTGTGATGCTTTATGTTGGATATTATGGGGTCACAGACAAGAGGGCCCAAAGACCAACCAAGAGGTTCAAGGGAAACTCCCTGATGATGATAATGATAATAACAAAAAACAGCAACAATATTTATTTAGAATATACTATTGATATGTGCCAAGCACTCAGTATACACTGTGCTAATACTAAACTGTTCAATTCTTTAAAAGCTAGGTGTTATGCGTCCATTTTACAGAAGAATAAACTGAGGGTTGGAGATGTTAAGGATGAGTAGGAGTGAGATAAATAATGACTGGGGACATTTTCACATGTTGTTTTTTATATCATTTTGATAGGGCTCTTCTATTTTAAACTATGTAGTTACCTGAACTGTATAAAAGGGAGCAAATGCCGAGCTGAAATCTAATTCATCAAGAATTTCAGGGGTTATCTTTATCCTCTATCAGATCATAATTTCAATTCCAGTTGTTTATTACAAGGCAAATACAAAGAACGAAAACAAACCAACATTCAAAAATGGGACAAAACCTTATTTTAACAAAGGTGGCTTTAAAACACATTTTATTTGTACACATTTTGTTGTATTTCAGAGCCTTTTGAATGGACTGATGTGTTCAAAGCCTGAAGACCCAGTAGAATACTTGGAAAGTTGTTTACAGAAAGTAAAGGAACTAGGTGGTTGTGACAAGGTGAAATGGGATACATTTGTCAGCCAGGAAAAGAAGACCTTGCCTCCGCTAAATGGAGGACAGTCACGGAGATCCTTTCTAAGAAATGGTAATGTATATGTAGAATAACAGACAGTTTTATAGTTATGGCAATTCTATTTAAAACATACCATGTAGACTATAGGCAATGATTTAATTTGTTGGGTTTACAAATGCCTGGAGAAAATAAAGCCTTAGGAAATAATTACTCTCTCTGCTACTAAGGCTAATCACCTCCATGATAAGACAAACAAAATTACATACCATTGTCCAGCAATTCACTAAAGGCTTAATGAAATTTTATATCACTGACTTCATTATTTTGCAAAATGAATTACATTAATAAACCATAATTTTTTCTTAAAATTGCAAATAGGATTTTTTTCAAATTCATAAGGAGGATACAGAAAAATCAATACTATTATATAACAATTCCAATATTACAATTAGTTGGAAGTATATTTAGCTTATTATTATATTTCCATGTTCTGGGTTCATATATTACTGCATCTGCATAAATGTACACGAAGTTTATAATATTAATTCAATAAGGCGTTACTAAGCAGCTAATGGATATAATGTACTAGATTAGGCATGACGGTACCATTAAAAAAGTAGATGAAGTAAACTTGTGTAAATTTTAGAAAATGCTTAGAACTAAGAATTGGAGTTTGTTAGAAAGACCTGTAGTATTCTTTCTGAAATATGTGCCTGTCAAAATTAGGAGTTCAAGATGAGCCACTCAGCGTTTCAGGCTTTAGACGAAGTATGATGGTATATACACAATGCAATTAGCTCCAATCATGGGGAACTAAATTATTTATTTTCTAGTGACCAAGATCATTACACTTTCAAAACTTAAACTATCTCAAGCATTATACTGCAAAAAGTTTCAGCTCTCCAGACAGAGCTAGTGACAATTCTATTTACAATAAGTATAAGGAGAAAACCAGTCTTAGTTTGTTTAACCATCTTCAGTCATGATCCACTTGCATTTTATTTTAATACTGTTTAGAAAGTGTCAAAGTGTGCTAATGAAAAACAAACACAAGCAGGGGGGCAGCAGATGACATGGTGGGTAAGAGGGTGGACTCCCACATGGCTGACTTCACTTCAAGTCCTGGACCCAGCACCTTGAAAATCATGCTGGGTACGTATGTATACCTGCCCCAAATCCCAAGAGGAGAATAGAGGAAAAAGGATTCTGGCATGGTTATCCCCCTGGAAGATTTCTCACTTTCCCTCTCTCTGGTGAACACAAACATTCTATAGAAAAATCTTAAAGAAACACACACACACACACACAAGCAGAGAGAGAATCCAGAAATAACATTTCATCAAAAACACCTTGAAGAGAGAAGTCCTTCCTCTATCTTACCCCTGCAGGAATCTGTAGTAGGTTATTTAGGTATGGGTACTCAGATGTTTTGCTGGAAGATTACATGACTCCCTACCATATTTCCTAGTGTTGCTGAGAAGTAAGCAAGATGTTGAAATTGCTATTTAAAACTAATTTTAGAAAGTTTCAAACATAAACCAAAAAACAGAAAAGTAATTATAAAATATTTAGTGTGGCCATAAAGTAGTAAGATTAGCATTTTGAGCCTGAGAATACAGTTGTTCTCATGGTTATGCAGTCTCTCATTCCAGCCCATCTTACAGAAATGGTAAAATATCACTCAGTACAAAATAAACCATGTGATTACATAACATTCTGTGGGAAGTCCTAAGCTTAAAGGTGAGTCTTCATATGCTTACTAAATTAAATTTGCATTGGAAAAAATTTTTTTGAGGTTTTTGCCATAGGGAGCATGCACTTGCTGAGAGAGAGAGACAGACCCAGTGAGAGGGAAAGTGAGAAATCACCACCCCCCCAGAGGCGGGGGAAGAAGGCCATACCATAATCCCTTCTCCTCCATTCTCCTCCAGAGATCTTGGGCACGCATGCACCCATGGCCTATGTGAGTTTCAAGCCACCAGGTCTGGGACTCAAACCATGGTTGGCCACTAGTGATGTAACCACTACACTATCTACTGGTCCCCAGATATTTTTATTGGACCCTTAGAGTCATTCCAATACTAAAGAGATGTTTAGACTTCTCATACAGTCTATTCATAGTCCTAGTTTCTTACTGATAAAAGATCAGCATCTCAAGATGAAAAAATTCATGCTATAAATCAGTGAGCTTTCTGGCTCACTGAAAACAGCCTAGGGTACAAAGAGCAGCAAGTCAGCAGAGTTGGAGTTTAGTGCTCCAATTCAAAATGCATAGACACAGCTACGATTTGGTACCTCTGCGAGCTACAAGTACTCTCTCAAGTCACCAAAGTACCGTTAGCCAGTCACGGATGCAGCACACCACTTA